AGCAGTAAATAACTTTTACTTTCAGTTACTTTCATTTTGTTTAAATAATTCAGCTAAACTTGTTGAACCTCCTCAGCAGGTTCAGCCAAACATGTTTAAGAGGCAGTGCCAACTTAAACAGTAACTTTCATTTTTACTTAATTTAGGTTCCACTGACTTCACTTCAGCTGAACCTGCTGATGAAGTTTAGCAAGTTCAATTAAAACTACCACAGCCATTTTCAAATCAGAACAGTAATGGAAACTGCTGGGATGAGTGGACAGACCACTTTAAGTTGTTCTATTCTTTTAAAAAAAGATTTGATCTTAAATAAACTTTATTATAACGTCAATGTTAATGCTTTTAAGTGTTGTTCATGTTGCCAGACTCCTGTCAAAGTTTCACTAATTCAAAACAACGAAACAAGTTAGACATTGTCAGGTTCTTTTATGAGAGAAGATGATCCACACTCAAGAAATAACTTTCTCTTTTCTTTATTCAAGCAATCAAAGGTTCAAGTTAAAAAATGGCTGCCGTGTCTTTTTGCTACCTCTTAGATCGAGATGGACAAAGAGCACCACACCCAGGCAGTAAATGCTTTTTATTATATGTAATAAACAGGACACTAAGGTGATTGGGCAAAAGTTGGAGGGAAGTTCTCCTTATTTTACTGAGATCCAGTACTTCGGCTCATGTTTCTCCTGCCATGGCCACTTCTTATGTGTAGATGCCTTGTAGTCAAGACCGTCCAAACTGAGACCAAGACAGGACCAAGACCAGAGGGTATCGAGACCAAGACCGAGACCAAGTCGAGACGAGACCAAGACCAAGACCGAGACAAAAAAGTCTTTAAACTGCAGCCAGATGCTACTTCGTTTACGGGTGTCAGGCATATTTATGTGTTTTCGCTTTCACACAGCCCTCCTCACCGCTGTCTACTGTCTCTCTCACTTTCTGAGAGGACAGACGTACGCTCCACTTGACTGTCGCATCTCTCACCCTCTCTGTTTTTCACATAATCCCCTCTCGTCTTCTGAAGCAGGTCCTGGACTCAGTTGGACCTGTCCTTCTGGTCCTGATAAATGCCTGTGTCAGCTCTGGTTGTTTCCCAACACTTTTTAAGCATGCTGTTATTCAACCTCTTCTCAAAAAGCCTAACCTGGACCCATCTATACTCTCTAACTATAGGCCCATTTCCAATCTGCCCTTTCTGTCCAAAGTATTGGAGCGAGTTGTCCTCAGGCAGCTCCAGTCATTTTTAGACAACAACAGTCTCTATGAGAAGTTTCAGTCTGGTTTTAGAGCTCGTCACAGCACTGAAACCGCCTTACTGAGAGTTTTTAACGATTTGCTTTTAACTGTAGACTCTGGTTGTGCTGCTGTCCTAGTAACCTTAGACCTGACAGCAGCCTT